ACTCCGAGTTAATGGTCTGTTCTGTTTAGCTGCAAAAGAAGAGCTAAACCCAGCCAAACCATTCAAAAAATGCAGCTAAAAAGAACAGACCACTGACTCGGAGTCGGGTCGAGTCGGTTATGCCTGGTTTATGCTTCGATCTTAATCCTAAAATCCTAAAATTTAGCCAATGGAATACAGATTTCAGTTAGAACCAGTTAAAACTGGCAGCCCTATTGGCTGAATTTTAGAGTTAAGACCGAAGCATAAACCAGGCATTAATCGAAAACGCTATAATAAGTCTGTTCGCATTGCTTGCACTTTTTGCACTCAGCATCTTCTCTTTGGCTACGTTTACACCGTGCATTTAGGCCGCAGCCTATACAATAGACGTCCTTGTTTATCCTGTATATTAATCAAAGATACCTATCGTATAGGTCGCGGACTAAGCGCACGGTGTGAACGTAGCCTTCTCTCTCTTCAACGCCTGAATATCTATTTATCTCACTTTGAGGACAAACATTTTTGAGGATTTCAAGCAACGCGCACAGACCTATTATTTCAAAAATAAAAATATTTCTATAAAATCGAGCTGATTATGCAGTGCGTTCGCTTAATAAGTTGTCAATTTTCTCTACGATATTTACAAATTAAATATTTTTATATTTACGTAATATGATTTTGTTTATATAATTAATTCATAATTTTTTTACTTACTTTTGGAAAAAATGCGGTGAGCCGTGAAATATTCTTGGAAAAAAAAAAACATTCATATTTGCATGTCACGATCGGTGAGAAACGCTTCTCACGTTTGTAACTGCTAGTGACGGGCCTGGGAGACGATCCGGTCGTCTGCTGTGACGCAGTCAAAATGGCGACGAGTGATGAAGTGCCGGTAGAAATCAAGCAAAGCCGCGTGTGTACCACGGAGAATTCGGTGAGTTTTATGAAGTGGGCTATTCGATAAAATAACGGAAAACTTCGTCTCTAACGGGTTATTAGCCACGTACCGATACGCTTCGTAAACAATAGATGCGCACTATTGGAGCACACAACAGCTAGGACATTGGCTTTGTCATGATGAATATAGTCCTCGCGCGTCTCGTACAGTAGAGATACCCGCGAGGCTGTCGACGCGAGTTGAGAGTCACGCTGTCGCGATACATTTTCTGAGGCGATTCCGCGATTAAAAACGTTAAGTAACGCTGGCTACGGATACGCGGTTATCGAGACGAAGGAGATTTGCAGTACTCGAGAGACGTTCTATATAGGACAACGGAAACGATATAGCAATATCGCAGAATAGAGCGCGTGCTAGCAGGATATCGACTGGCCATTCGATTCCGAAAGGGACGCCATTTGTTTTGGCGGGCACGTGTATTATCGCCGGCGCGAACGAGTTCGTTGGACTGTAGATTCTACGCTAATCGTACTTATGAACATCATTGTAAATTTACCACTTAAACCGTATTCATTTTTATAGTATAAACAATAGTTGTAGGCGTATGTGTGTGCTTTATACATTTGTATGATGGAGTATAATGACCAATACGTCCCTATGTGATTTATCTATTTTTTATTCCATACTGAAGCTAAGCATTTGTTGTTATTACATTAAGTGATATTAAGCAGTGCAGAGCATATATCTACATACCTGTGTTTTTTTTAGTTAAAACTTCTTCACGGTTCATCTTCTTTTGTCTTCATGTTGAAAAAAAAAAGGATAAACTGTGAAAGAGGTTTAGGTTGAAAAGGACAGGTATTACGAAATGAAGCTTTTCCCATTATTATACATTAATACAATCTCAATGGAAGTATAAAAAATATTGTATTTTATAATTTATAACTCTATCTGCAATTATATTTTTACTCTCTTTGTCTAGCCCAAGTTTTTTTAAAGCTATTTTAAGCTTTCAAAAATTGTGGACAAATTCAGAATTATTTTTTAACATCTTTATTACATTATTAAATAGTTTTACTAAAATTATTCTTTGTTTCGAAGAAATTTGATTAAAATTTTGCTTGTACAAGACCCAAATTTACCATTTTACAATTAAAACTTATAAGCACACAATAAATTAAAGAGTAAAATAATTTAAATAAATTATTTGAATGGTCGAACAGTTTTTGATTCTCTATAAATATTACAGACGTCAGAAATGGAGTCCATGGACATAGCAGCAGAGCCTACTACTGTGAATAAAAATGTCAATGTACAATCATGCAGAGAATCCGTATCTGTTGACGATATGACATCGAGAGACTATTATTTTGATTCCTATGCTCATTATGGAATACATGAAGAAATGTTAAAGGATGAAGTACGCACTGTGACGTACCGAAATTCCATGTATCACAATAAACATCTCTTCAAAGGGAAGACAGTTCTCGATATTGGCTGTGGAACGGGTATTCTCTCCATGTTTGCAGCTAAAGCTGGTGCAGCCAAAGTCATTGGTATCGAATGCTCCAATATCGTTGAATACGCAGAAAAGATAGTAGAGGCAAACAATCTGTCCTCTGTCATAACGATACTTAAAGGAAAAGTCGAAGAAGTTTCATTACCCGATGGAATAGAAAAGGTTGACATAATAATATCCGAATGGATGGGCTACTGTTTATTCTACGAATCGATGTTGGACACAGTGCTCTTTGCCAGAGACAAGTGGCTTCGTGAAGATGGTATGCTCTTCCCTGATAAAGCGACATTATTCATTTGTGGGATCGAAGATAGACAATACAAAGACGAGAAGATTAATTGGTGGGACGATGTGTATGGATTCGACATGAGTAGCATAAGGAAGGTGGCCATTAGTGAACCACTAGTGGATGTTGTTGATCCAAAACAAGTTGTTACAAATGCATGCCTAATTAAAGAAGTTGATCTGTATACAGTAACGAAGGCCGATCTTGAGTTCTCGTCACCATTTACTCTTCAAGTCCGCAGAAACGACTATGTCCAAGCTTTAGTTACATTCTTCAACATCGAATTCACAAAGTGCCACAAACGTATTGGCTTCAGTACTGCACCGGAAGTGCCATACACACATTGGAAACAAACCGTCTTTTATTTCGATGAATACATGACAGTGAAGAAGGGGGAAGAAATATACGGCGTATTCTCGATGAGGCCCAATGCCAGGAATTACAGAGATCTGGATTTCAGCATTGAGTTAGATTTTAAAGGAGAGTTGTGCCAAGTACACGAGACTAACAATTACCGTATGCGCTGATATATAGTGGACTGCGCGTCTCTTTCCACTTTTTTCATAACTCATTAAAAAGTCATTTAATCAAATCTGAAGTCGATTTCCTACAGTATGGAACTATAAATTGTCGCGTTTAGACGGCGTGTATTGATGACAGTATGTCAGTTGTTAAACTGACTTTAGCAGTTCTTTAATTTTAAAAGACATGGAATACTTTCTGATTAGACATTTAATATAATGACTTTTATAAATATTTTCTTCTGTAAACGTGCAAAAATATCCGAATAATTATATTTATAATACTAAATTTAAACTAAATATTGTAATAAATAAAAACTCGAATTTTCGCGCACAAGTATAAGCAAATTTCAAATCTATCAATCTGTAAAAAAAAATCCTGAGTATAAAACATAAATGTTTTGGCAATATTTCACACACACTGTAACATTAAGAAAAACTACTTGTAATTAATATTTCTGATGTATGATAAAATATATAATTGTGCGCCAAAATTCTCTATCTTTGTTATTTTCTTTTATATTATTAGACTTCGTTTTAATGTTGTCAAAAATTGTGGAATGCATGATATATATATACATATATATATAAAATCAGAAATTTAATTAAAATTTTCATATGTCTTGTTATCTCTAATCAACTCATTTATTGTGACTTGTCAATAAAATAATGAATAGGGTAAATCTATTTTGAAGAGCACTATTTTCTGCGAATGCTATATATTTGCGAATATAACAAAATGAACGAGCCTAAAGGCGAAAATCATATTTAAAAAATGATTAAAAAATTATTTAACCATGATATTACTTGTTTTCATATATTTGATAGCTAGTTTAATCATTGATCATGGAGAAGTAGGCTGAGCATGAAGTATTTTTCGATTTTTATTTAAGCAGAGTATGTCATTAAGTTGTTATACCTTTTAAACAATTGGCTAACTTCTGTGTCTTGTAATCAGTCCTTAATTGAATAAAATTAAGTAGAACGGTACGATCGAGTGTCATCCGTAATCATTAAAAAAAAATATATATATAATATATATTTCTAAAAATATATATATTTCTTAAATACAATACGTTATACAACATACCAACTGCTCTCCTGTGCAAACTTGTTTCAGATTTTCCGGTTTAACCAACAGCAAGTTGCACAAAGCATGCAAAGTATCAAAGAGATTCGTAACAAATTCAACCTCGAGCTCTTTAATGCACTTGCGATATTCATTCATGTCGCATATCGCACACATAGCACCAGCCGAATTAAATTGAAATTGTTGTAAATGATCGTAAATGATTTTGTGAAATCTAATTCCTAATTCCTTCAGAGCGGTATCTAAATGCCTGCCGTCCAAGGTGTTTCGTATCAGCCGTATCATACCGCTCACGTACTGTACCACTACTAAACAGGCTGGAGTATTTACAGTATCCACATCAGTTTCCGGCTTAAAATCAGTCTTTTTTTGTTCGCTTTGTAAATATACTTTTACCCAACCTACAATAGCGTTTATGCTTCTGTCTAAGCCGATGTCTAACTTGACATCTATTTGCTCTAATACAGCTTTTTTCTTCAACAAACAATCGGCGTGTTTGGGTGTCGAACTAAAAAAGAAAAAACATAGTATTATAACTTGTATTGCTATTGTAAAAAAAAGCATATCAGATAAATAAAAAACTTGCATACATAACAAGAGGCAGTACACTGTCGTTGAATTGTTCCTCCAAAAGTCGGACAATGGCATTACACTGATGCACTACATTGAAGAAATGAATTTCTGGTTGAGTCCTACTCTCTGGTATCGGTACACTTTGTAAGCCCAATTCTAACGCATAGTCTACATGCTCGCTTATTAAATATTGCAATAATATTTCCAAGATCTGCAGTGCATTTGTAGATATATCAACAGACTGCGAAAGTAATTGACATCTTTGAAACGCGAATTTGCTTCTCTGTAGTATCGCGATTGCTAGTTCTTCCGATAAAAATGTCTCGCCTCCGTAATCTTCTATTTGAGCAATGTTTATATTCGTTCTTGCACCTAATACAGCCTGCAAGTCTCTACGTAGTTCTTGAAAGCCACCCATTTGCAATTGTTTTTTCTGATGATTTTTGGATTCGTAGTACTCTATAAGCAACGTTGCTGATTTTTCTCGAAATGCTTTCGTTTCGATACTAAAATAATCAATAATAATCATTAGCTGGCTCTATCATTTCCGCTCTATTATTTCAGCAGCATTATTTTGAACTGTGAACTTACCTAATATAAGTATCTAAATATTTTTGAAAGATGTTTCTAGTAAGTTTGGCAAGATAAGTTTCATCAGCACCCATATTGAAGACCTTTAGATCGTTGGACAGCTTAATTGTCCTTGTATACAGATCGTACAGATTTTTAAGATATTTTTCGGAATCGTTTTTGTCAGCTAATTTAGCCACCGCATATTTTTGAAGGCGCAGATGGTATATGTTTAAAACAAACTTGGCCATGACTTGCTCGGGATTAGAGAATACCTGTTGCATAAGCTTGTGATACTTTGTACACATAGGTATGACGTCTTGAAAGACATCTTTTCCACCGAAGGAACCCATTTGACTCTGTTCTATAAATGCGTCGATACACTGAGAGTAACCCTTGAAATTTGCCAGAGTGCTCGCCAATTCCCTCATACGCGGCGCATCTTCCCTGTTGTGCGCTCTTACAAATTCCTCGATTAGATTCCGTTCTATTTCGTCATACTTGACACCAATTTTCTTCTTGGCGTGTTCAAATTTTTCAGAGGGAAGTTCCTGGGCTATGAGATGGAGTTTTTGTATCACATCAGCAGCATCATTCAACTGTAACAAATAACACTGAATAAACTTTATTAATCAATTTGTATAAACTTTGAATTTCAATGTTCTGAATTATTAAAATTTTGAAATACGTGTGTAATTTTGGTATAATAAATTATAAAGGAATAAAAGTATGTTCTTTTAAAGTACATTTTTTCTTTTTTCCTTTATGTTTTAGTTACTTTTACTGCAAGTAAACTTTTTAGCTGTAAAAATAATTTAATTATCTTATTATCTTTACCGAGGACTTATCAGTGAAAATTGGATCAGTCAGTGGACCAGGACTTAAAAATTCCGAGAAGTGCCTCATTAATTTTTGAGCTTCAACTGCTCTTGCCCTCGGTGTATTGACACTTTCCAACTGATCTCCCAGATGTAAGACTTTAGTAGCCACGAGGTTTATTCTCTCATCTAACTGATGAAACAACTCAATAGAATGTCGATTTCTTTCCTGTAATTCTAATATCTCAAACGTATGTCGAGCTTCTTCTTCCTTCAGCGCAGCCTCTAATTTATCACATTTCTTTTGTTGACGTTCCTGTAGGATCTGTAAGTCTTTAATTGCTTGCAAAAAAGTCTCGTGAACGATAACTGGATCAAAAAATGTCTTTCCTCCATCTTTTGTATTATCATTGACAGTTCTCCAAGCTAATCTTTCGACAAATTCTTCGGGGTCAAATGGATCCTGTGAAACAGTTGCAATCTGTTCATGACAGCTTAATACGATATTGCACAGAAATTTATAAATTATATAGCATTAAATTTATTGCATTTATTTGAAAAAATAAAATTATTGAAATAACTAGTTCTTGTATAAGCTGATCTCATATTAAACTTAATGACTAATACATAAAATCATGTAATATCGAAATAAATCTTTCAATGGAAGAAAAAAAGATTAATCGAAACCTGCTCCAATTCCTTCATATATTGTTGCATCATTTTGAAACAGTTTATGTTTGCAGAGCAGCATGAAAGTAAAATTAGGTTAGATTATAACACTCGATCAGTCCAGAAAAGCTCACAGGAGCTGCGATAATAGAACGACCATCGCTGTTTGTTCGTTATGAGTTTATGTGTGCATTTTTAATTTGTCGATTCGGTCTCGCATTTCTTGGATTGCGAGAAACGTGATCTATGTACGATTGATATCACCGCGTTCAACAATACGCACAAGAATGTCATTCTTAGTAAACAAGCTCGACCGCCAGATGTCAACGTGGCGCAATTCGTGATGATTCGCGCCCTTTAAATTTGTAAAAAAAAACCCGCTCCGCTGATAAATTGACACGAGTAGTAAACAACAAATGCAAACTCATCCATTCGCGCTATTTGCAGCTATATTTCATACAAATAGCTAATTGCGAATTTCGAACTGTCTGACGTAGAGCGTTATTCATAGTTCGATCCTATACATTTATAATTAGAGCTGCTTTCCTTTTAGGGACTCTGCACAATCAAAGGAATAATGAAGAGAATAAGAACCTCAACCTATCAGAAATCATATTTTATGGAATACAGTTTCTGATTGAAATTCTTATCTCTCGTTGAAATTCTTATTCTGTTCCCTATTCCTTTGATTGCCCCTTGGAAGACACAAATATCGTTCTATCCTTCTTAGCTTTTAATGAATAACAAAACAGAGCGATACTATATCGTACTGTATCTTCTGAAAGCAGCCTATTTTAAGTATGATCTCAGAAATGGTACGGTCGCATTTCATTGTCGGAATGGAATTTCAAACCATCCAACAGACCAAATTTACGACGATTTTAAAATACGAGCATCGCCAACAATTGATTTATCAGGAGTACCAAGGTGTACTGACAGATAACGAACACGTAGAAGGCTAGGCTTTACACGTCTTTACACGCCCATGTGCATATCATATGCATATATCGTACGTGCGTGACGTGTCAGGTGATAATTATGAAATGACCCTGAATGTCCGCGGAATTTGAAGAATGCGATTTTTCGTTTAGATATAGTTGTTTATTCATCCGTATATTTTATTATAATTACAGTTACTATACTTGTAACTTTTCGAATGCCATTATATCGTATACCCGTCACAAATAGCCCTCTCACACGATACAAAGCTACGATTTGGATTATATGTAACTGTAATATCTCTTAACTCGTATAAAATATCCTCGCTTTTCTGCTCGATTGGAGCTAGTTCGCAGATTATTTCTGTAGATTCTTGGATCGCATTTGAACTATGTAAAAAAAGCATGACGAGGATCAATGATAAAATTTAAGAAAACACAAACGAAGATTTTGCCACTTCATTGTTTGGCTGTACGTGAGCGGCACATTTCTTAAATATATTTTATACATATACATATATGTATTATGTATAAATATATATATACATATACATAAATATATACATATATATACATATACGTATACACATGTAACGTACTTCACGTATGCGCTCCAAGTTAGCATTGAAATATTTCTTTTATTATAAATTACATTATATCATGTGTGTGTATATATGTATGTATATACATATATATACACTACTGAGAAAGAAAGGAAGGATATCGCATTGCTTATGGAATTTCACTAGGAAAAAAATGACCTGATCCTTTGCGCATCTAAAAGAAAATGGAGAACGAAACATACGAAAAAACATGAGAAATCTTTTTGGATTATTGTATAGAGAAATAGAAATAGCTATAGAGCCAAACACATACTCTATTGTACATATTACAATTAGGCTAAAAAAGAAAATTAAAGTGCTTATCATAATAACCACCATACGCAGTATTATTCAATTTACTTCTCAAGACTCGAGTTGTCCCTCCCATTACACGCACATCTACACTCGTTCGATATTATCAATACTAATTCGACAAATTTATCTAAAGTCGAACTTTATACTAGAAAATGGCGTTAATTAACCACGTCTTTTCTTCTTTGGAAAGATAACTACAAAAACGAAATTTCAGGGCAGGTGGACGAGAGTTTCGTACAACTCTGAGGAAGAGTTGGTGGTCCATGAGTGTGTTAGATTCTTTTTTCCTTCTTTTTTGTTGTTGGAGTAAACTAAAACTTCCATGTATCGTTCTTATACTTGCAGTAATAAGTTTAATTTTGCAGTATCTGGACCGCAACCGCATTAGATGTTCTACAAAAAAAATTTATTGTTTTCTATAAATTAATAATTTACATTTGAGTTTAAATCTATTAAACTCTTACATACACACATATTTAATTTCGCTCTTACTTTGGTTAAACGAGACACAAGATTATAGTTCTCAGCAGCATCCAGATTTAGAAGATTCAATTGGACGTCCGTGTTCTATTTTCACCTTGTTGGCTGGATCGCTCGCTCCGCTCGAGGGTGGGCCCACTCTAAGTTTTATTTCAGCAGCCATCGTCATAAAAGCTTGTTCTACATTCATTGCATTCTTTGCCGATGTTTCCAAAAATGGTATTCCGAGTTGATCGGCATATTCCTATTCATAACAATAAAGTACAGTTATGCAATGAGGACTGTAATCAATTTCAATAAATTATGCAATATAAAAAAAGAATATTTGTGCCGTTTACCTTGGCAGCTGTGTAATCTACAACTTTCTTCGTATGCAGATCACATTTATTGCCGACTAACAGCTTATTGACGTTATCACAGGCATAACGATCGATCTCTTCCAACCATTGTTTTACATTGTTAAAGGTCTCCTGATCTGTGCAATCATAAACAACAATAATACCATGTGCACCTCGATAATAAGAACTTGTAATTGTTCTGAACCGTTCTTGACCCGCCGTATCCCAGATTTGTAGTTTTATTGTTTTTCCATCTAAATCGATAGTTCGAATCTTAAAATCCACGCCGATGGTACTGATATAACTTTCCGTATATGTGTCATCGGCAAAGCGCAACAAGAGACATGATTTTCCAACACCAGAATCACCGATTAGAAGCAATTTAAATAGATAATCACTGAAACATGAAAATATTTTAGCATAAATTACAATTACAATTTGTAAACATTCTTACAAACAGAAAGAAAAGATTTGATATCTCTAAATTTAGAAAGTCTTAAAATCACAATTAATACAAACAATCAAGACATTTAAACTAGAAAAACCATTTTGTAAAATAAAAAACTCTAAAAAAATTTTTTAAAGGAATATTCTTTTAAATTAGAAGAACTATTTTGTAAAGTAAGTAAAATTCTTAATAAAATTCAAAAAAAGGATATCAATTTGTTAACAATTTACACACGTCTGTTCTCATGATTATTACGAAGAAAGAGCCAAGGTCGGCTAATGGAAAGTGAAAATCTAACAGTAAAAAAATACTGAAATACGGACTATGATACAAGAGTGCCATGTTTCGAGTAGTAGGGGAAAGCGACGAGAGGGAAGGGTAAATCTGTCAAGAGACGATGAAAATCAAAGGACACACCGTATTTTTTATTCCCTGACCTAGCGAGCAGAGATCCCGCGGGAGCGATAACGTGGACGCTTTCTCATCATGGAAACGTTCATATTATCGCTCGATAATTAGTACAAAGTGGCAAATTTGTTACACTTATGTCTGCGCAGAAGGAAGTTTACTCACTACTCGGGATTCATCGTGGACATGCTACGCTGAGAATGCGTCGGCTGATGGATCCGTCTATGGTCTGCGCTGGAAAGTTTATACCTAGAAAACGGCGCCTCGGCCTCGACACGCACTACGGGAAATGCGGATAAATCGGATTCTCACTACGTTTCTCCGTAATATGACGAAGAGTTGTAACAATGGCGGTCACAGCAACTCCTCCCAAACCAATGAAACCTCCACCATTGACGTAATGCCAGAATGGCAGCGGGCACCTTTTCCATAGACGTAGAATGTATAGATTGCGCGCGTTTTCTATTCTAAAGGTGCATTTTCACGAACCTCAAACCGGTGACAAAAAAAGAACGTGGTCAAAATTAATCAATAGCAAACGTCAATTTCGATCGATGTGAGCCTTTTGTCGTTGAAACGGCTGATTTGAGCGACTCGTGAAAATATACCATACAGCTTTGTATCTAAAATGCTAGAATTTCTTTGACGGAGAAAGAATTGACCAATCGCATTGATCATGTGACCGAATTGTTTAAATATGATTTGTTAATTCTTTTGTCTAAAATTTTGGAATGATTTCCAGCATTGTGGACAAACACATGAATTATATTCTGATTCCAATCAATAGTTGAAACCCCAGTGGCACACATAATGCATTTTTTTCTTGCTAGATTACTTGAGATTTAGCGAATTATCAGTATTGCATTGGTTGTATCCAGAAGTCAAATTTTTTTTTAATATAATTGATTCATACATTTATCCAATGAGGAACTAAGGGCAAGACCAATCATATTAAACAATTTTACAAGTGCGAAATTGTTTCTTTTGCTGCTGAATACAGTCGAAGACTGCGTCTTCAGCGAAGAAAGCAGCTTAGGCTGCGTTCCGTTTCACGCATGATGCATCTTTTATTCTTGTTATTCACCGAATGTTAAACAAGAATAAATGATGCATTATGCGCGTCGTGCGTAAAACGGAATGCAGCCCTGGTGAGCGCTTTGTGCTGCGCTGCTGATTTCTGCTGAACGGACTTTTCTTCTACTGTATCATATGTATATGTACTACATAACCTCCGAACCAGTATTCCGTGAGACATTTCATATTTTTCATTCATTTCATTTTCATATTATTAAAATAAGCAAGTAATAACGGCATTAACTAAGTATAAAATATTCAAATTACTTCAGATTCAATTTTACGTATAAAAATGGAAAACAACTATTATAACTTATATAAAACAATAATATAAGATATAATAATTAAACTTATCTATATAATATTTAAGTTTTTACCATTTTGGAAATTATCGTGTATGTCACTTGCTGCCGTAACAGTGTATATTATATTGTTATAGGTATAACATTTCTCGATTATTTCATTCATTTTTAACAAGGTTATATGTAGCACAACACGTTGCGCTTATTAAGCGTACTTCCAGTCTGCTGGAAATAGTGGCGACCGCTTAGTTAACATGTTGGAAAAGCGTAAACTGCTAGGTGGCGGTCAGCAGAAAATCATACAACAGTTGCAAAACTGCTTTCTTCGCTGAACGCTAACAATACCAGGTATGTAAATATGAAACCGGAATTTACCAATAGGCCATGTAGTTGCCGTCAGACCGCGTCATTGATGCCATTTCTTTGTTCTGACATCTGACAAAGATTTTCAACTCACAACAATATAAGTTTCATACAACAGTATAGTTTGTAATAGCGTTGAACATGTCGAATTTTGTGCCTGGAAACTACGATTTGCGGACAGCATTGATTTTCTGTTACCATTTGAAGAAAACTGCTGCAGAATCGCATCGAATGCTTGTCGAAGCATGCTCTTGGTAAATCACAGTGCTTTGAGTGGTTTAAAAAATTCAAAAGTGGCGATTTTGACGTGAGAAACGAAGAACGTGGAAAACCACCGAAAAAGTTTGAAGACAGCGAATTGCAAGCATTGTTGGATGATGACGCTCAAATTCAACAACTCGCGGATCAATTGAATGCGACACGAGAAGCCGTCTCCATACGTTTAAAATCCATGGGAAAGATCCAGAAGATGGGAAAATGAGAACATGAACTGAATGAAAGACAGCAGGAAAACCGAAAAACCACTTGCGAAATGCTGCTCGCCAGGTACAAAAGAAAGTCATTTCTCCATCGAATTGTGACTGGCGATGAAAAGTGGATATATTTTGAGAATCCTAAGCGTAAAAGATCATGGGTAACTCCAGGCGAACCATCGACATCGACTGCAAGGCCAAATCGCTATGGACGGAAGACAATGCTCTGTGTTTGGTGGGATCAGAAAGGTGTGATCTATTATGAGCTGCTAAAACCTGGCGAAACCGTTAATACTGAACGCTACCGACAACAAATGATCAATTTGAATCAAGCTTTGCGTGAAAAACGACTGGAATATCAAAAAAGGCAACACAAAGTGATTTTGCTTCATGATAATGCATGATAAACCATCACACACAGCAAAACTGGTCAAGGAAACGATTGAGGCGTTTGGTTGGGAAATACTTTCGCATGCGGCTTACTCACGAGACTTGGCTCCGTCCGATTACTACTTATTTGCATCGATGGGACACACACTTGCTCAGCAGCGCTTCACTTCTTACAAAGATGTACGAAAATGGCTAGATGAATGGTTTGGCTCAAAAGAGCAACAATTTTTTTGGCGTGACATCCACAAATTGTCAGACAGGTGGGAAAAATGTATAGTTAGCGATGGGCAATACTTCGAATAAAATATTTTTTATCATTTTCATGCAATAAAAGTGTATTTTCTATAAAAAAATTCCGGTTTCATATTTACATACCTGGTAAGTATAGGAAATGCGCAGTTACAAGGAACAACTTTTATAATATAATTAAAATAAAGAAAAATGATAACTTGATTTCATTATAATTCACATATAATATACAAAATATCTAGTAATTCTTACTATTTTCTGAATAGATTTCGAATTGTCCTTTAAATTTGTCTTCTGTTACCTACAATGTAAAAAATGTAAAATTATACATCATAAACATGTATAAAATCGTTAAAAAATTCAAGTTTAAATATATATAATTAAATATGTTTAAACTATATATATAGTTTTTCAAACACATGTGTGATATTTAGAATAAAATGCGTTTTTTCTCTTTTATGTCAAATTTTTATTAGATCTATATAAATAGTAGCATTGAAGCACATACGGCTATGAATCAAAGTAGGTAGTAAAATTGCTACGTCCAAAAATCCTTATATTCCGGTGATATACTTTCCAAATATAATATTCTATCTTCAATATTCTTCAATCTTTCGTAAATATCTTTAGGTACTGGTTTGTTAA